GATTTAAGATTTAGTTTTTTGGTGTTTGGTTGGATTTAAGCTAAATCTGTTGTTAAATTTGTCTATTAATTGGCGACTACCAAACACCGCCTTAGCATATTAAGCTTTGTAAAGCTCAAATTAATTTGAGCTAATTAGCGTATTAAGCTTAAGGCGCTACCATGTGGTCCATGTCCATGTTGTGAAGGAAAAAGCTTTTACTTAGTTTGGCCATGTCTTCACAATTTGTCCAAACTTTTCTTCATTAATTCCATTTTGTCATATTATAACCTTCATAGCAATTAAATTTTAATTAAACCATCAAGCTTAATTAAAGCCCTCAAGATTACTTGAAGTTTCGAGAAAATGCTTCGGATTAATTTAATATATATTATTATTGCAATGGATAAATTGCACAAAAAAAAATGATTTAAATTTAATATATACTCTCAAGTTTAACAAATATGTTAAATTCTTTTTCCATCAATAAAATGTATTGAAATAAAATTTTCATTTTTTTTAAATATTATTTACATAAAAATAATATAATTGATGTGTGGTCAATAAATTTTATTATTTGACATGAATATCGTTGTATTTTTGGACAAGAAAAATTTCAGAAACAAAATGTAATAAATTAACATAGAACTATAAAATAAATATTAAAGAAATTAAAAAAACCCTAAAAATAGATAAAATAAAAGAAAATTATAATAAAATAATAAAAAAACCAAGTTAGAAACATTTGTTCATTGTAAATAAAATACAAATCTAACAATCTCTTAAAAAGAACTTGATCTCAAAATCTAGCAAGCAATTTTTTAAATGAGTTGGTCAATAAAAATTTAAAATATAGGTTATTAGCAAACTTTCCCACTCATGTCCAATGATATTTCTTAGAAAATATACTATAAAAAATAATTGGCAAAAATTATACATTTATTTATTGCAGTAAAATTCTATTGATCCAGTTATCAATAGTTAGATATTTTCTATAATGAAATTTGAAATTATGTTCTTCTCTCATTAGTCAAAAATACAAATAATGGTGACTCAAACAGATCATGGCCTTTGATTATCTGCTTGGGTTGACCTTAGCCAAGGAGTAAAATTATTCAATAACATTTTTGAAGATTTGGAAACAATGTGAATCATTTAATTCTAAACTTTAGTTTAATAGATTCGAGTATGAATGTAGAAAATTGTAGAGCTCCAACCTCGATTTTGAACATTCAATTATTCATTTGTGTTCTTCATATTTGAACTTGTCATTTAGTTGGATGTTTTGTCAACTAGTCTTCTTTTCATGACAAAACAACTAATACATCAATTTTCATTCCAAATCTAGCTTTTTACACCCAATTTCTTATGTTAGTGGTTCACTCTCACTTTATTCAAACACTCAAGTTCTGATATAAATTATTATTTATTAAATGACTCTAATTTTTAGTCATTTATGCTTATAATCTTTAAATACCCAATTTCTATAATTTCCATTACTATTTATCAGATGACGCAAATCATTAGCTAATACACTTGCCATCCTCAATTGTCCAATCTTTAGCATCGTTCAATACCTTTGCTAAACACCCACTCCATTAGGGTTTGTTGCCCTTCAATGAGAGGGTAAAGATGTTCATCAAAGGATGCCAATAACTCTTGTTATTAAACAATTCCTATCACTATTTACTAAATTGGCCACCCAAAAAATGATGAGCCACCACCTTAAGAGACAATCTAATCCTATAAGGACTCACATTGTAATTCAACATTCTTCAATTTAGTGAATTTTAGACTATTACAATTACCCATTCATGTTAATGAAACTGTCCAAACTAGATTGAGCTATAGTTTCCTTTCAGGGAATTTTGTACATGAAAATTTAGATGCATTCAATGTATTCTATACCTTATTTATTTGTATTATCTATGCATATGTTCAAAATTTTCATACAATTATAGAATTTTAAAATCATTTTGTTTGTTAGAAAAATTAAAATATATAATATTAGTTTCATTTAATTTGATCATGAAACTAATATTATATTATATACTCAAAATATATTATATTTGAAGATTTTATCTTTAAAATATTAAAACTATTCCAATAATAATATTTTACATTTTATATTATGTGATTTCTTATTATCACTCTATTAATTGCTAATTTCATTTGACATTTTATTATAATACTACCTTAAATTAATATTAGTTTCTCTCTTTTACAGTGAACAAACCGATTCATGAGCCGGATCAAACTCGTAGACTTAAGCTCAAACTTGAGCTTGAACTCATATAAAATTAATCAAGCTCAAGTTCAAGCCGATGGAGGCTCGAACTCGACTTGATTCGTAGAATCCGCATGAATAAGACGATGGGAATGCCCTCCAATGCAGTTAATAATTTACTTTTTAAAAATGGCTTAAATAGACCTAAATGGGCCAGAATTAACATAAATAATTGCCAGATTATACATTAATGATGTCTGATGAAAATGTTAGAATTTTATCTAAAAATGAGTTCAATCAAAATTTTTTAATCATATAATTATCGTTGACATACATTTAATAAATATGGCGTTTGAATTCTAAGCCTTAATAAATTATTTAATTTAATAAAATGAAATAACTCAAACCTAAAGTACAATTATGCTTAATATTTGAACAAAAGCTGAAGATTGATGCTTCATTTGAAGAACCAGCTTAAATTTTAGGGGAATAAATTTATTATAAAAACTAATTTAAAATTTAATTATTTTATATTATTAATTTAAAATAATAAACAACTAAACCATTAATTTAATCTAAATAAAATAAGATTAAAAAAATAAAATAAAATTAGTTTTAATACTAATAACTTAAAAGTAATTAATTCGCTAAAATTTCTCAAAAAATTGTGTTTTATTTAATACAAATATAATTTGGAGATAGCAATCATAAAATAATAAAAAAAAACAAATTTTAGGATAATTTACATACATACCACTCAATTCTTATATATTTACATATCTAACACCTAGACTTCAATTTTAGCATATATGCCACTTACCTATGTATTAAAATGTGATTTTCACTTTTTTAAAATTTCAAATAGTGGAATTTTTATTGTTTTGAGTTTTTTTTTTATTGTGATATGAAATATTTGGTTGATATAAATATAGGAAAATAATTTGTCACGACCACAATTTCCGCGTAAAAGTATTTCCATATTCAAGTATGAGAAGCCATTAAACAAAAACATATTTAACAAAGCCTTGAGCTATATGTCACCTCCCAAAAAAACTCTTATGGGTGGTGGGCAGCCCAGGACTTAAATATTGTCTTTCGGCCCTACACCTAGTCAATGTGAGACTATTCCCATCCAATCCCTTGACCCCCTCGTCACGGATCGGCTCCACCGATGGTCTCACTGGACCATGGAGAGTCCACATACCTGACAGACAGTAATCTGCTTTGATACCACTTGTCACCTCCCAAAAGAGCCATTGTGCATGGTGGGCAGCCCAAGACTAAAATACTGTTTTTCGGCCCTACACCTAGCCAATATGAGACTATTTGTCCGTGACATATAAGTATCTTGAGCCAATCAAAACAACAATCTTTAATGATAATGAAGATATGAAAGATTTGCATACATGCCATTCAATTCTTATGTATTTATACATCTAAGACCTAAACTTCAATTTTTTCATAGTTACCACCTTACCTATGCATGAAAAAGAAAAAGATATATTACACTATTTAAAAGTTAAGATAGAGGCATTTTTGAAGTGATGTGAAAGATTTGGGTGGTATAAATGAAAAAAAATAAAGTTTACGTGTTAGATATGTAAATATCTCTAAACATAAGGTTAGGGTCTATTTGGGGCAGCTGCAGCTTATTGAATAATATGCTGATAAACTGATTAAAAATAATCTGTTGATAAACTACGTATGGTGGCTATTACAAATTTATAATTTTTTTTTAAGAAAGTTAGACCGTTGCCAGAAAGGTGTCACCGTACCTCGATAGATGCGGTGTGAAAACACTACTTTCAGCGTTTTCAAAGCGCATAAACCGCCACCCAAACAGTTCAGGTGCGTTTTCAAAACGCCACCACACCAAATAAACTGTCCCAAAAAGACCCTAAATATATTGCTCCACTCAGAAATTCTTCTACACAATCCCATAAAATTGGCTAATCATATTACCAAATTAAACTAAAAAACTATAAATTTTGAACCAACATCTCTAGAATAATTACTAGAGTGGGGGCAAAACCGCGTCCGTCGAACTGTAGGAGGCCAGTTGTGATCTGAAACGACGAAAATTTAAAGTTTCCCAAACAAAAAATTCATCTCGACTTTCGCATTCACTACAACAAAACAGAACTTTACGGTCTACTCAAAATAATGTGTACTTCAAAAGAATCACTCCTTCAAGACTGAAGACCCAAAACCTTAAAAAATTTTATGTCAGCCCTCTGATGTCATGCTCTTCTTAGCGTGTGATGAGGAAATTTCATTTTCCAGAAATGGTGTGCAAAGTCTAGCGTATTAACTTTAGTCAGCCATTTTGATTTTTCATAAAAAAAGAAATGTTTTGTCTTAGGAAGTTCTATATACATACCACGAAATTCCCATTTATTTACATATGCATGAATATATTTCATTTCTTAGATATGTAAATACATAGCACGAAATTCTTATGTATTTACATATCTAAAACTTAAGCTCTGCCATTTTACATTTATACCACCCAAATTTATTATATCACCTTTTTAACATAAGAAAATGAAATACAGTTTTTTCATGCATAGGCAGTCACATACATAACAAAACTGAAGTTGAGGCATTAGATATGTAAACACATAATGATTGAGTGGTATATATGTAAATCTTTCTTGGTTAAGTGATTTGGGTGGTATAAATGTAAAAAACTAACGTTCAGAATTGCTCCCTTGAATTTAATATTTAACGTCAGATTCTTTCACTGCAGCACAATTTAACGCAGAATTCACAATCCATGTTTGACAGAAAAAAATAAAGCGATATTAATGTTGTATATCAAGGACAATGAATGGTTCTACAAAAAATGAATAATTCTCTGTACATTAAAAAGAAAAAAAAAAGAATGTTTTCAAAATTATAAGAAAAACATATGATAATACTTATCATATATTCTCTAACTAATAATTTTGAAATTTTATTTTCAACTCTGAATTAGTTGACGAATCATCTTCTTATGATTGAACGGTTAGATAAATGTCAAAGTCGGCGCGGCGAATCTTACGTGCCTGCTAATGACGCAACGCGAAGAAGTCTCAATTCCCATTTTCCCGAGCAAATATTGAACTGATGGTGATATTCGAATGATATTGGGATGATATTGTACCTACAGTATCATGCCAATACTATCATTCTGTACCAAATTCATAACTATCTCATTCACATGTAATATTTTTTCCAATTTCCAACTAAGTGGTGAGGAATAATCGCGGCTTCTTAATTGAAATCGGACTTTGCACTTCATCTTCTTCCTCCGAAATCCAATTACATCTTCCTCCAATTTCGAACCCAAATTCCGGCACCGGTGGCAGATTCAAATCGAATCCACCCCCCGGTGGCAGTTTAAACCCGACCCCAGGGGGGCGGGAGCCGGCAGCGCTGCCAATCGTGCCGTCGTAGTGGCACCGCTTGTGTCCGCCGAGCGCTTGGCCGGTGGGAAAGGTTTTATGGCAAATTGAGCATTGGTGAATCCGTGCGCTGCCGGAGACTGCGGAGGCGACAGGGGAGCCGGCGGATAGGCGGTCTTCGGCGGCGGCGGTGGTGGATGCGGATTTGCGGTGGCTAGTTTTGTGGCCACCGAGGGCTTGGTATGACGGGAAAGCTTTGCCGCAGAGGGAACATTTGTGGGTGAGATTTGGGGGTGGGGATTGGGAGTCGGAGAGCATGAGGAGGCAGAGTGCTAGGTTTTCTTCTTCGGTGGGGGATCGGTGGTGGGGATCTGAACGCTTTTTTTGGCGTTTGATTTGGTGTTTGGGTTCGTCGGAGCTGTAATTTGATGAAGATGGCGACGGCGACGGCGACGGCGATGGCGGGAGGAGAGAAAGCTTTGTTTCAGGGGATTTCATGGCTTCTGTGACCATAGATGTTTTGAAGGGAAGGGGGGAGAGAGAAAGCGTGAGAAGTGATTAGTTTCGTGTTAGAGACTTGGATGAAGGAGGCTGAAGAAGAAAGGAGAGGAGGCGTTTGGGCTTTTATAAACGCAGATTCGCCGAAGAGAAGTGGAGTGTTGGAGAACTGACGTTTTCGCTGACGTGGTCCAAATATGAAAAAGTTTTGAGCTTGCGCGCGTCATCAGAAGCGGCCGCAAACGGGAAGGATAATTTCACCGCCCGCGTTTGATGCACTGAATTTTCTTAGAAGTGAGAAGAATTTTGATAACTATGTGCCACGTGTCAATTAACTGTAGTGAGAGTGCGGGTGAGGAATAGTGGGAGTAGAACAGCTCATCGAAAAAAATTAAAAAATAATGAAAGACATGGTTGGTGACCTTCCACAGGGTCAAAAAACAGCAGAAGCAAGTCTGTGAACTTTCAATACTGCATGCCTAGTCAACACGCGCACACCTCCCGCCACGTGGCAGTTTGTTCCTCGTCAACCCCACGCGGCGTACGGTGCGGTTGTTATTGTTTGCTCTGTTGAAAATATGGGTGCAGTCCCCTGGGTATTTTTCCCAAAGGGAATATGGAAATTTTTTAGTGGCAATTACACAGAAAGCATCCGAAATATTGCTATTTACAAATTTAATACCCTGTTTCAACCTTTTTTTTCAACTTCTTAATCAAATATCAACCTTCATGATAAAATCTCATCCTATATTTTTCATTTTTATCGAATTTATGGGATTTAATTGTGACACACGTAAATACATCGATTTGACGATAAAAATATATTTCCTAAGTGGGAGTATAATTTTGCAAATTTAGAAATATTTTATTAGTTGGATTATATAGTTATTGTTCAATTGGATTGATGTTGTTTTGTTTTAATTACTTAAGTGAATGGTGGCTCGTCTTATTTGTGTTGTTATTGTTTTATTTGTCTGTGCAGTTCATTGTGATCTTCTTTCTCATTTGTTGTTAATATTTTTAAGAGAGGTTTTTTCTTCTTTTAGAGTTTATGGTAGTCTTGATTTATCGTTTTTAGAGATCTTTTTCTTCATTTGGACTTTGTTAAGTGGTTTGAAATTCCTGATTTTAGATATTTTTTGGGGATTTTCTTTTCTATTGTTGTGTGATTCTTCTTGATTTGGACGTTCTCGAGTTTTAGTTGTTGCTATTTGTTTGGAATAAATGCTTCACCTAAAGCTCTCATTTAACCCAAAAAAAATTTGGCATTTTATTGTACAAAATTTAAAATTATTTAAATTTAATGAAAAAAAATAAGTGCAACGATATAAATTTGAAGGCTGGTGATTTAATTTCAAGATTTTAAGAACTCGAATGAGTAAGCATTTTAGTAGAAAAATATCATAAAAATTTCCAATGTTTTTTATTTAAACTTAAAAAATCAATATCTAAATAAAATCAGAGTTAACATAAATTCCACCTATCTTTATGTATTTATTTTTCTAACAACTAAAATTTAATTTTTGACATCTTGTTTATACATAAAAAAAGTGTATTTAACTTTTAAAAATAAAAATAAAAACAATTTTATGCCATTTGAAAGATTTGAGTGATATAATTGTAAGAAAAGAAAATTTAAATATTGTATATGTAAATACAAAAAAAGCTGTGATGTGTATGTAAATTTGCGTCATATCTTTCAATGAATAAATAACTGGTAAAGCAGAACAGTTGGCTTCGCATTTACTGTTGACAGGGAATTAGAGGTTTGATTCAGCCCGAGTTATATATATGAATACATATTGTATGACATCAGCAGTACGTTGGCCGGCTGAGTTCCTACAACCGCCACGTGGCTTTTAGGGACGGAGAGGCTGGAGAGGTTAGAGTGAAGAAGTGTGCAGCAGCGACAGCTACTAATTCAGAGCCACATGCTTAGCTATTTTACCTGGCAAATTAAAATAACATATCCTACTGTAATTTATGTTAAAATAGTAAAATAAGATGTTGAATTTTAAAATACATTTAATTATTTAAGCATATTAATGAAATTTTCTTACGAGGGAGTTAATGATTTATCTTTAACGTTGAATAAAATTTTAAAACAATGAATAAAAAATGTTTTAGAAAATATAATAATTTTTACTCTAAAAAAATATATCAAGAGAAATGATACGCCTCCAACAAATTAACCTTAAAGCGACATTAATCTCAAGATAAGACTCAGATCTCAAGATAAGCTTTTGAGTAGGAAATATTTAAATTTCAATTAAAAGTTATTCAGAGATTTGATTTCAGTAAACTTATAGTCAAACTGACCAGCTTATTAAGACGAATTGATTGGTACCAATATTGATCCAATATGAATCAAACTGAGCCTTAATCAAACCATTACACTGCTTTTGGAAGCTTTTTAGACATATTTGGAAAGTTAAACCGATGTCAAATCCGACATGTTCATAGTCAAATCGAGTGTCTCAATAAGAAGAATCTAATGAGCCCAAGATTGATCAATTATGACATCGTTAAGACACACAAATTTACATCAAACATTGTTAGATCAAAGGGAACTCTTTGAGTCACCTGGTGAAAGTGATTTTTATTCCTTATTTAATTGCAAATTGTACTCTATTTAGTCTCAAACCTCTCAAGAGGAGGGAGGATAGCTTAAGACTTGCGGAATAGTTTGAAGCTTTGATAAGAAGCAAAAGACCAACATCGCGCCTACCGTCGTCGATCATCGTCGACAGCCTCTGATCGCCTTTAACCACCCCGACCATCATTAACCATCGCTAACCGTCGTTGAGCACCACCAACCGCCGCCGACCGTTGTCAACTACCATCGGTCGCAGTTAACCACCACTTGTCGGTCGTTGTTGATCACAATCGTTCGTCACTCGTTCCTTGCTACAAGTTCATCTGCACAACACTGTTGTAACTTGGAAGAACTTATAACAATTTCAAACCTGTGGGACAAAGTTTGCAGTTGTAATAAACAAATTCATAGTGAATTTTTGCAACTCGGTCAGATAACACGATTTTTCCATTTATGAATTTTCCACGTAAAAATTTTTGATGTTGCTACCGGTCATTTTCTGTTTTCTGAGTGTGTGTTGAATTCTCATGCAACACTAATATAATAATCTTCTGCTTTACTGCCCAAATATTCTAGCTCACATCAAGGAAAATAATGACGATTTTGAAATAATCACATATGGTGGAGATTATAAAAACTGGCATTCACATTGATTAGAGAAGAGCAAAGTTTCAAAGTTTAAACTATCAGTTTGATCGTATGTTAGAAAAATGAAAAATAATGAAAAAAAAAGTGATGGTTGCCAAAATTAATTGATAATTGGTGAAGTTGACAGATGATGAAAGTATTTAATGTCATTCGACAATGTGAAATGAAAATTAGATGCCAACGAACATTAATATTGATTAACGAAAGATAATTGTGATTCAACAATAATTAGGTGATGAGAAATATCAACATGCTAATTTTTGTTGTTGGTTGAAGCAAGGGAGAAATTCCTAACATGAATACTAAATTTAAAGATTCTTCAAACTCAACTATTCTCCCAACTCTAATTTCCTATCTTAGGTCCCGTTGGAAAGAGCTTTGTTGAACAAGGAGCTTCGTTGTTCCTTCAAAAAGTCACGCTCTGTAAAGAGACTTCTCTGCTCCGTCCTGAAATGACAAAAATTTTCGCATTTTCACTCTTCCGTGTCCGGAGACATTCCCAAAATATTTGGTAACTAAAGATCTCCTTCTCCAGTGATGGTGTTGAGTGTGGTAGAATGGAAGGCGAATGCAATCTCAAACGAAGCCTTAAATGGATGAAGACCAACTTATATTTTTTTGGTAGGACAATTATTTTTTATTTCCCCTAAATCCCAAAAATTTCTATGGGAAACCCATAATTAGTTATGTTGACGATTTGAAAGTTCTAAATATTTAAACAAAATAGTTGATGCACTAAAATAATATGTTATTTTAAGTATATATTTTATGTTTAATTTTGATGATATTGCACTTTAAAGAAGGGTATTTTCATGTTTTTATTACATATATATCAATTTTAGGCATTTGGAGCAAAAGTAGCAAAAATGACAAAATTTGGAGTCACAATTGTAAAGTTTTGAATTCTAGCGCAAGATTGGCGCCAGATGCGCCAAGAACAACACGGTCTTCAGCAAACTGGCGCATGATGCGTCAGATTGGCGCCAGATGCGTCATTTGACAGAGAGTTTGTGCATGATGCGCCAGATGCATCAGAGAGGACTTTTTTAGGATTAAGGCGGTTCAAGACAAATTTTATACGAATTTTCAAAGAGACTTCTTTTAAACATCCTTTGGAGTAATTCAATGCATCTATACATTTGAAAGGTTCTTTTATGAAGGGATATGTCTCTTAAATCAATATATATGTCATTTGAGTTCAAAAGAGTTGAATTTTGGATAGAATTTTGGGGATAAATTTTGAACTATTTTTGGAGGGAGGCAGCCTTTGATAAAAGAGAGGAAAGACTAGGGCTTGAAAGAGAGTTTAGAGGGAGGCAAGTAGAGGTGTGTGGTGTGAATTAGAGAGAGAGAGAGAGAGAGAAAGTGAAGGGCTTGAAGATTTTCTTCAAAGATTGTAAGAGGAGAGAGAATGTGAGAGATTTCTTCTTCATTACACTTTTAAGACAGAATTGAGAGTGCTTGTAAAGAGAGAAATGCTTGGAGAGAACTTCTAAGAGTTTGTTTGGGAAGGATTGTGAGATAAGTTGTGTCATTTATTTCTTTTGTGTTGTAAACTTTTTTTTATTAATGAAGTCCGTGTTTTGTCGTATCTTTTTCATGAATTCTGAGTAGTCTTCTTTATTCTTCTCCCTACTTTCAGATATGGATTTGTAAAAAATTGATTTTGTTTTATATGATTTTAAATATCAATAATTTGTGATGATTTGAACTCCGTTTGAACTCCCGACCTTCATTTACTTTTCGATCTGGTCAATTGAAATGTTAAAATGTGTTGAGAAACATATGTTCCGAAAGAGCTATGATTTCTACAACATGGGGGGAATCATATTTGA